TCAGGGGCAAGTGGCGTATATGAAAATGCACATACCTTCGTTATATGCAATTTCTCAATGTAAGCTAATTATGGGCAAAATATGCTAATATTTTACTGGTTCTAGACGTTTGTAACATTTATACTGGGTCAGCTACTTATTAAAAAGATGATACGATGGTGAAGTTGTTGATATACGTGGTAAGCTGTAAAACGTCGTGGTAAACCTTTGAAATACAGAAATGGAGAATCTGGAATGGATGTGAAAAGAATGAATGATTCTACGTCGTTTGTAACTGACATTTTTTCGATCATGACACGGGTTTCCTCACTCCACGTTATCGGATTCAAAATTTGATATTAAACAGCTTTTGTTAATTCTTCCCTTAAAATCGTTCAGGATAACTTCCATATTCAATTAATATTTTGCTGAATAAATTGATAACAGAGGTACATTTATATAAATTGTGTACACATTAGAGATTCTACACGTTTCACAATACTTACTCTTTTTTCAAAGACCCTGTTTGGTCCTGAATATGAACTCATGTTATCGTGAATTTAAAAAATTGGCAAAATGCACAATGTATTTTACTCATTCTGGGTCAAGCAATGGAGGGTTTAGTTGTTGCATGCAATGTATCTATTAACCTGTAATCAATTTGCCTGGATGCTTAAAAGAAAAAAAATGGCTTCTCATTTTCATAGAACATAATATTTTTCTTTGTCAATTTTTTACGGATTAAGTGCCAGCATTATTAACGTACAATAATGCTTTGTTTCACTGAAACCAATCAATGATTTTCTACGATTCGTCAAAGGACAGTCACATCATCAGGATATTTAACGACAATACAAACACTTATTTACTTAAAACAGTAATATTTTATTATAAACAAACGAACTAGTACTAGAAGAGGCCATACTGTGTCGCAATAGGTTGTGGCTTCAGTGAATTTGATTAAATAAGAAAGAAAAGTGGCTTTAGTTTATAATAAACTGTTTGTTTCAAATAAATTAGTTTCAAATGTGTAGCAATAATCGTTTTAATTTTATTAACAACTGGGTCTTTAATAGTAGTTTATGCAATTAGTTTATAATGTTAAGCTTTATTGCATGACTACATGTTTTGAAAACGAGCGACTTTAGGAGCGAATTTTCAAATTTGAACGAATGTAATAAAGCAACATTATAAACGAGTTGCATAATATATTTTTTGTATAACAGCATTATATATTTATATGAGAATCAAACTTGCAATTTTGCGAAACAACTTCCCTGTGACGACTCAGGTATTTGACATCGTGCGAGTAAACGGTGCTCGGCTGTTCCGTTTAGCTCTACCTCCCCCCGATTCTCTCGCTACGATTGGCTGAATGTGTGTTGACGCAATCATTCGTGACATAAAATCTAATACGTCATCATTTGTACCGTAAAATGCCCGATTATGAACGATTTCTTGCAACAGAAAAGGTTCTTTTATAATGCTGGAAAACAAAAAACATTTCTAATTACCTTGGTATATTCTTTAGTAAATATTACGTTATCTGTTACGAACCTCATTGCTGAAGTTTTATTTGCTGTAAAATTTCAATCAAAATCTTCTAAATGCTCAGAATCAAGATTTTGATCTGGATAATGCAGTTATTCGGAAGGAACGAAACAGCGCTTAGTGACTCAATTGTGGGTAGAGAAGCGAAGAATGGAAGTACACGGTCAACAGGTGCAAACATGTGGAAGAATAACGAGAACACAATGCTGGCGGTTAATTTAAAAATTGCAATGTAACATTTTATGCCATGAATTCGGTAGGTTGGGCATGGTGTGTACCCGCGCCGCGACGCTACGCACCGCACCGCAAAGCGCTGGCGGGCTGGGGAGGCGCAGCCTTCACAAGTGGACGGCCGAGCGCGGTGGCGCGGGGGCGGGAGGGGACGGCGGATGCGCCGGATTAATAGGGCGCTGCGGCCGGCGACGGCGTGACAGGGGCGCTCGCCCGGCGCCCGCCCCGCCCCGCCCCCCGCCCGCCCCGCCCCGCCCCGCCCCGCCCCCGCCCCCGCCCCCGCCCCGCTCACGCCCGCCACGTGTGTCGCGTGCGTTCGTCGTTCCGTGCGAGGACGCGCGGAAGTATGTCTGGCCCAGCGGAGGCCCCGCGCGGCGGCAGACTCGCCACTATTGCTTTGGCGCGGCCGCTCTCGCTACTCCACTGCTCGCAAGTAGAGAGAAGTGACACTAAGAAGGGACCACTTTGACAGATCGACATGCAAATCAACGTCATGTAGGGCGATGACATTGCAAGAGAGACTGATGAAGCCATATACAAATGTGTTAACTGTAAACAAACGCACTGACAAAATGAGTGCATGGACATAACTTTAAAGTTATGATGCCATCTGCGGCCAAAGCAGCAGCGGTCAAAGCTATCCCTTCGTATAGTAATCTCTCTACAGTATCCATTTAAAGGAACTATTAAGAACATATTCTGTGATCTTCTAGTCAGTGTAGTATAATACTTCTGGAACGTACGGGCAATTACTTTGATTAGAACCGAACAGTCCTCAATTACCTCAAGGCCCACCCGTTTACACAGATGAGTTCTAATGTAGTGCTTCCGTTCCTCCCGTTTCATGTAGTTACATTCTTGATTTTGTGGGAATCATATATTTAGATTATCCATCTAAAGTGCTGTAAAATGTGAATCGCATTAATTCACTTTGTTATAATTTTCTTTCGTTCCCTATATATTTTCTCACCCTACAATTCTATTTGACTTATTCTTTTTCAAACGAAATGTGATGAAATTTTTCGAAGTTACTGTAGTCATTCGCTGTTTTCGTATCAATTTGAATGTGTACTTTTTACTTACTGTTAACAACGAATTGGCATGACACTTACAGAAGACATATCATTTAAAATATGTTCTGTGTCCCATCTAATGTCGAGTGTATCGTTCTTCTTGAATTGAATTGAATTTGCCTTATTTTACGTGGCGAGACTTCTTTTCCTCCTCCTCCTTCCATTTATGCCATCTGGATACTATTTCCCCGCCTTTTTATTTGTTAGATTACAGGGATGTGAGGTGTACAATAGTTTCCCGTCTACATAAGGAATTTTGCAAATCTAATGTAGTGTAGAATTTTGTTAACAGACAGAAACATAACTAAATTTGTGATTAATGTATCTCTTTGTGAAATAAAACGTTGAAATGTTTAAGGATATGGAGTAAAATTCATCCCAGACGTACATCCCAGACGTCAAAACCCCTCTAAAATAGTGATTGCAATGAGTGCTATTTCTTTAATCTGAAAAAAGTCAGACTAGTACGTTACGTAGTATTATTTTCAAAACTATTAACGATTATTATGGAGTTACAAAAGAACAACAATGGAATTACTTGATCGCACAAGTTAGTGAAATATATTTGAAAGTTTCAAAACTTTTTCGTCATTTTTGCTTCTGTCTGGCGCAAGAAAATGCTCATTGGACTAGCATATTCTTTCGCATGTAACGCCCATCTTGCAAAGCATTTCCACAGTATCTCCTTTTAGTTCCCCCTCAAGGATCTGTGATTCCGAGTAATTCGCGCAATTCCCTCCTTAAAACGAAGAGTGCTGTTTAATTATACAAAACTATCATTCGCCTCATTCTAACTCACTCCTACAAAATATGGTTTACTACATTCAATACTTACATAACTCCGAACAGTTCCAATATAAATTGCTTCACAAGATCCAAAATTCCTGTTGTCTGTCCGAAATAACGAACTTCATCGTTATCTTGACATTCAATCGTTGGGGTCATTAATAAAACAATTGATCCACAACTATTTCCTCTTAATTTTATAAAACATTAGCTCTCCCGATTTTGCTTTATTGCAGAAGGAGGAGACCATCTTTACATCCCCAAGAATTATGAAGCCATATCCCCAAGATGTAATAAAATAGTAATTCCCCTTCCTTGTAACCCTACCGCCAACCAAAAGACACCTAATATTTAAAAAAATACAAATATTGTACGAGTCCAACTGGGTTAACTAAAATTGTAAAATTGGTCAATAAATCATTGGGTATACTTTTCTGTATTTCCGAAACCATCACATGTAAAGACTCCGGGCTGTACCGAGAAGGAAATTAATAATAAGAATAATGTTAATGATAATATTTTTTTAAATCCTCCTTCCACCCTGAACATAATGAGTCCGTAGTCACCCAGCTCTTAATCCACGCTCAGCGATGTCTGTAAAACATAGCAGGGCTGGTGGCAAGTCTGGCCGGAGCTCGTTAGCAGATTCCCGCTAGTCGGGTCGGTAGCGTTTTGCTGGCAGGCTCACCCGTCGTCAATCCTACAAATAATCTATTTCCACTTAGACGATGTTTCCGAAAATAAAATCCTTCTTCGGCTTCCTGCATTCTGCATCGTATCCTGATATTATGACCAATGACAGCGCACTTACAAAACCCGCAAACAAAATGATGACCATTATGACAATATGACTAAAAGGTTTGATTCGACACAGATGTGTTTATTTTATTCTCGACGAAAAGACTGTATTTCCATAATTAAAATAATTGTCATTCAATTTTTTTCTCAAAAGTTAAGTATCCCTTATCACTAAAGTTTATAATATGTGCAATAGTATTAAAAGTGTGCTTATTTTAATTGTAAGTGGTCAATAATTGATTCCTCTTATTTGATAAGACGTTCAAAATGATTAAATATGGTTTGGAAGAGGTGGATCGGGACGGAGAAGACCGCATAACGAATTAATCGTCTCATATTATGTACCTGATTCCCACATATAGAACGAATGCCCTGTAACGTAGATATTTAACGTATACTAACACTCATTAAATCTTATTGACAGTAACATTATTGTAATTTCCAAACATTCATTAATTAATACTACATGAATACTAAACACTGTGTTGAACAGCTGTTCTTTGCTATAGAGGTGTTCGAGGACCTTCATCGCGCCAAAGGAAGCGCTAGTCCGGTGCTGAGTGGGGTGGATTTCTGTTGCAGGAGCCGAAGTTCGAGACAGTGACGCGCGAGACGGTGCAGACGTTCAGCGGCAGCCGGTCGCAGAAGTCGACGTCGGAGAAGCGCGATGTGTTTAAGGGCCTGCCCCAGCAGCTGGGCGCGGCGCTCGAGCCACAGCCCGCCGAAGGTACCAGCGACACTCACTCGTCCTCAAATCGTCCTCGCTCGCCCTGTAGCGCTTCAGCAAGTTGCGAGGTTTAAACGATGCGTTGAAAAAACAAACTTTACTAATGAATTGCATTTAGACTGAGATGTTGTGTATTTGCGTGATAGACAATTATTTTAATATTTAAACCAGTGGTGCTACATCAGCAAGAACTTTCGCAAGTTATTTATAACTTTTGCAATTTTTGAAAATGCAAAGTTCAACGAAAATGAGACCTGCGCCATTTTTATGTGCCCTTTGCTCTATCCGTGAAAAATATAAAGAAATAAACTGGACCCGTTTTTGAGAGTTTTTTTTATAAATTGCAATAAGAGTTCGAAACTTATACACAAATCTAAAATGTTTTACCGTCATGTGGTATTGAGGGAAATGGTCTTCGAAATATATTTCCAATTTCTATGCATTAAACCTATAGTTCTTAGATGGTATTAGAAACAAAAAAGTAGCCTGTAAATTTAGCATGTTTGTTTTTATCCTTTTTCCAAATGTTAATCCTTTACAAATATGAAACTTGCGATGTACATTTTCTTACTTATTTGTGAAGTTGATTAGCATGAAAATACTAAACTTTCGAGTCAAGAATTCGATACTCGAAAAATTCATTTTTTGCTGCATTCAATCTTTATATGATCATGATCTATTTTGAGTTCTCTTAATTCCTCCTGATTTAACACATAACTCAATTTGGGCATAAGTACTATAGTTAAAAACAATGTTAGTAGAATTTTATAATCCAAAATAGCCAAACCCCTCAAATTCGGCAGTGGTTGCTATAGCCTTAAGATTCTCGGTTACTGCATTTATTCTAAACAAACTTTTTATCCGTGATTCATTCTGACTTTAATTATTGATGTGATGATTTCTGATTTTAAAATGCTAACAGTTGATGAATACAAACTTTAGTGGTAAATATGTTCAAACATTTGAAAGCCGTAACAATATCTTAGCCATAAATCTATTAGATTGTGGTTCATAAACAAGACTTAAAATATTCAACCAACTGGATTTACCTTGCCGCTTAGGAAGTCGTGATGTGGTTATAAGTGTGTCAATTACTTTAATGAGGAGTTACTAATAAGTATATTTTCCACTCTCAGTTATGTAAGTCAGAATAATTTTGTTTTGTGGAAAGATTCTAAATTAAAGTTTAAGTTGTTAAAAACATGTTTAGTTCATAGTTCAATGTTTAGTTAATAATCTTAAGTTTCAATACATTAAACGATATCATCTTATTGCCTAATGACATGGCTACGTATATATCAGTAGATGTGTTTGCAAAATCTCTCTGTCGCGCCAGACGGTGTATTAATTTACCTTAGCGATCCAACTTTTCTCCTCCTTAAGGCACATGCGGGACTAGACCCACCTGCTCAGGGGTGGGATTTCGGATATTTTATAGGGGAGGGGCGAATAAGATGGTAAAAAGTTCGCATAAACCAAATGACATAAGAGTAATGCTTACATACACATTTTTGAAAGATTTCGTAGCCCCCGTCCCACCCCTCTACAGCCACAAACGGTTTTTTTATTTTAATTTTTGCGTCAAATTAACACTATTTTATTTGATTGATAAAATATGAAAAATAACATTAAAATTTATACTATCAGAAAAACAGTTTTTTTGAAAATATTTTCTCAATGCATTTTTTTTCTTTTTTGATGCAATAACAGAAAAATTGTTTTACTGCTTTAGAAGCCTAGAACGGGCTTGAAAAAATATCATAAGTTCTTCTTAAATCACAAAACATTATATTTTTCAGATTTTTTCGACTGCTGAGCTATAGTTAAAAAATAGAAAAATATATTTACAATTTTAAATCACGTTCAATTTGAAAATGGCTGCAACAGTACTGTGCATTTAGTTGAGTGTTTATTGTATATTTGTAATGAAAATTGTTCTGATATCTACAAAAACAATGGAACATTTTTGATAATGATACCGACATTATGATTCAAACAGACTCTCTTTTATAATAAAATGAAAGTGAAATTATTTTCATAACACTGAATATAACAAAAAATATTCAGGGAAGAAAACACGTTCGGTCTTTTCTCAGTGTAAACAATGCAAATATTATGCATCAGCTACAATACATCTTAAATTCTAAAGGAAAAACACACTTAAAAATGTAATGTAATAACGAGTTTTACTCAACGTCATTCGTATATTTTCATTTTCTTACGTTTTCAAAAATTATAAACGCGCAGTTTTTGCTCTGTAACACTCCGTATCTTCACGCTATAACTGACGGATCACAGAAAAGTTAATCACTTGGGGACTCTGTATACGTAAGCTTCCGCAGCTCGAATCCATGAATTCTCGGCTATCCGGGAGACGCCGCGTCGTTGGCTGGGGTGCCGACGTTTCGCCTGACATGTCGCAGGCTTCCTCAGGGCAGTGACACTCCCGGATAGCCGAGAATTCACTTGGGGACTCGTTTGAATCCGTACGTTTCGCAGAGTTGACAAATTTCTTCATTTGAATCATCTAGAACTATATTTCATTCTTCTCCGGATTTACTTTCCACTTCCGTATTTCTAACTCCTGATTTTTAAAACGTTTAAAACTCCAACAACTCAGTCTAATTTTGTATTAACTTTTTACTTATGCAATTTCTCTATGAATCCTTTTGTAGGCTAATATAGGTATGCTAATGTAAGTATATATATATATATATATGAGTTATATATATATATATACTCATAACGTCACTATATACTACTATATATATACTATATATATATATATATAATATTAATACTATATAATATAGTATATATATATATTATGTGTGACGGGTTATGAGGATCTGTGCAACCACCATAACACCACCCGTCTCATGTGTAAAACGTAAAGCCTACGGATGGCAGCGAGGATAACCACGGCACGATTGTGCGTTCAAGCATGTCAGAGTCATCGCGCGCGTCTGGTTATCCCGTGCCCGTAGCTTATAACGAAAGCAGGAAGCTGCAAGGTATAGTTTTCCTCTAACTGTGAGGGTAAGGAGAGGGGAAGTAGCAGCCACCGTACCGAGCTGACATTTCCCTAGCGAGCTACGCGCGACGCTGGCAAATACGCGAACCCCGCAGCGAAGCTCTCTTTTTCTGCGTCCACTTCCACGCGTCAAGTAAGCAACTGCTCTTTTGATCACGGGTTCGACGAAGTCAACATTTTTCATTAAATTGAGATATATGTTTGCCGCTGCAACAACTATAGCGTAGGAGATTTCGCCGTCGAACTAAAGTCTATTAGTCGTTGTGTCCTGCGCAAAGTGCAGATTAAATAGTGTTTCTTTTCAATTAACTACACAGGGAAGTAAAGTTCCGTTGTGAAGGAAACATTAAAAGTTGCTGGCTTGTCAAAAGTAAAAGTAAAGAAGCAGAGCGAGGAACGTTGCACGATGAGTATGTAAGTGTCAAAGGACACTTTTTCGCAACGTGGCGTAGTCGCGGAGGCACGGGCCCGGTAGCACGACCGAGAGCAAAAGAAGAGGCCGAGGAATCCAGCCGCAACTGTCGAACTGAAAGATTGTGGCTGGACGAAGACGGACGGTGGAAGAACGAAGACGACGCAGGAAGAAAACGGCAGACGACAGAGGCGAATTCCCGTCTCTCTTCACGCAGAGCTGGTGACCGAACGGCTTTCAGGCAGCGACCAACGCAAGACCATCAACAGCCCACAAAGTGGGAAGTCCAACGAGGTAGACAGTTCGGGAACCGCAGAAATAGGTCAAGTTCACGTTGGCAGGGAAAACTAGCTAGAGAAGTTTAAGGTATAATGAGACTGGTGGCAACAAATTAACAGTATTATAGTAGCAGACGTTTTGATTGCGCTATTTGCCTGCCTAACAGACATTCTACTTAGGACAATTTATTAATTTCGCTATTTTCAGACACAGTTAAATTGATATTAGAGTAGTGCACTTGCACAATTTCCGTTTCATTAATGTAAATCTTGAAGCGAGAGATTGGTAATTGAATTTTTATTCACGTGCAATGTAATTACGAATAGCAACAGATTTAGATATAATTAATTTTCGCAAGGAAATTCCGCAGTTGTAGATTAGGACTTATTCAGGAGTATCAATTTTAGGGTAAAATGATGTGCTTCATTTACATTCGAGTGTTCGTTGTTGTAAAGGTTTCTATCTGGTTTTGTATTATTCTTTGTAAGTGTGATTCTATGTTCTTGGTTTCTGTCATTAACTTATGGCCACTTAAAAGTTTTATGGTAAATAATACGCTCGTTTGTGTCAATCTGTGTGATGTTTATTGTGTCAAGGGTTCAAACCTTGTCTCGCACCTAAGACCGAGCATCCCTAGATTTTTTAAGCTCGCTTACGAGCAAAATCTTGATAACCCGCTTACGGTTCATGCGTGCTACTGTGAAGGTGGTAAGTTGTGTGTACGTGGTAGGTGGGTATGTTAGAAAATATATATATATATATATATATATATATATAGAGAGAGAGAGAGAGAGAGACTTATATAAATGGAGAAAAAGAAGAAAAAAGAAAGTAAAAATGACGCCATCAGAGAGGCAGCGAAAGTGGGTACGTCATACGTTGACATCTTTTAAGAAATTAGCGCAAAGATGAAACCCAAAGAGGGTGGGGCTGACTTTGAAATGGTGTGGAAAACAAACAAAGGCGAATACCTATTCGTCCTTCAAGAACAAGGAAAAGCAGAAGAATTCCTCATCTTCAAATAAACCCTGGAAGGAAAAGTGGATGTAGCAGTCCTAAGTGGATGAAGCAGTCGACCATTGTCATTAGAGACGTAATGGAGTTTTCCACCGAAGATGACGTGAGGGAAGCCATCCGAAAAGAAACAGGAACACCAGATCTGGAGATGGCCTGCTACTCAAGGAAAGGGTACACCGGCCTACAATCGGCAATAGACAAATTGCCGCAGAACTTGGCCGCAGCTCTTTTCCAGAAAAAGAAAATAGCAATACATAT